GCGCATGGCGCAGGACTGGTCGCTGCGTGTGCCGCTGGTCGACGGGCAGGGCAATTTCGGCTCGATCGACGGCGATCCGCCGGCGGCGATGCGCTACACCGAGTCGCGGCTGCAGAAGGTCGCCCACGACCTGCTCGAGGACATCGACAAGGACACTGTCGATTTCCAGGAGAATTATGACGGCTCGGACTCCGAGCCCGTCGTCCTGCCGGCCCGCTTCCCCAACCTTTTGGTCAACGGCTCGGGCGGCATCGCGGTCGGCATGGCGACCAACATTCCGCCGCACAATCTGGGCGAGGTGATCGACGGCTGCATCGCGCTGATCGACAATCCGGCGATCTCGCTGATCGAGATGATGGCGCACATTCCCGGCCCCGATTTCCCGACCGGGGCGATCGTGCTTGGCCGTTCGGGCATCAGGAGCGCCTATGAGACCGGGCGCGGCTCGATCGTCATGCGCGGCAAGACGCATATCGAACAGCGGTCGGGCGACCGCGAGTCGATCATCGTCACCGAAATTCCCTATCAGGTGAACAAGGCCTCGATGATCGAGAAGATGGCCGATCTGGTGCGCGACAAGCGCGTCGAGGGCATCTCCGACATTCGCGACGAGAGCGACCGGCAGGGCTATCGCGTGGTGATCGAGCTCAAGCGCGACGTCAACGCGGACGTGATCCTCAACCAGCTCTACCGCTTCACGCCGCTGCAGACCTCGTTCGGCGCCAACATGGTTGCGCTCAATGGCGGCAAGCCCGAGCAGATGAACCTGCTCGACATGCTGCGCGCCTTTGCCGCCTTCCGCGAGGTCGTCGTCAGCCGCCGCACCAAATATCTGCTGCGCCGCGCCCGCGAGCGCGCCCATGTGCTGGTCGGCCTTGCCATCGCGGTCGCCAACATCGACGAGGTGATCGCGCTGATCCGTGCCGCGCCGGACCCCGCGACCGCGCGCGAACAATTGATGACGCGGCGCTGGCCGGCCAAGGATGTCGCGCCCCTGGTGGCGCTGATCGACGATCCGCGCCACATGCTCAACGAGGACGGCACCTACCATCTGTCCGAGGAGCAGGCGCGCGCCATTCTCGATCTGCGCCTGCAGCGCCTGACCGCGCTCGGCCGCGACGAGATCGCCGACGAACTGAACACGATCGGCGAGCAGATCCGCGACTATCTCGACATCTTGTCGTCGCGCCAGCGCATCCAGCAGATCGTCAAGGACGAGCTTTCCGCCGTGAAAGACGAGTTCGGCACGCCGCGCCGCACCGAACTGGCCGAGGGCGGCCCGGACATGGACGATGAGGACCTGATCGCGCGCGAGGACATGGTCGTCACGTTCTCGCACCAGGGCTACATCAAGCGCGTGCCGCTCGACACCTATCGGGCGCAGCGCCGCGGCGGCAAGGGCCGGGCGGGCATGTCGACCAAGGACGAGGATTTCGTCACCCGGCTGTTCGTCGCCAACACGCACACGCCGATCCTGTTCTTTTCCTCGCGCGGCATCGTCTACAAGGAAAAGGTCTGGCGCCTGCCTGTCGGCACGCCGCAGTCGCGCGGCAAGTTCCTGCGCAACATGCTGCCGCTTGAGGCCGACGAGCGGATCACCACGATCATGCCGCTGCCCGAGGACGAGGAAAGCTGGGCCGATCTCAATGTGATGTTCGCGACGACGTCCGGTTCGGTGCGCCGCAACAAGCTGAGCGACTTCGTACAGGTCAACCGCAACGGCAAGATCGCCATGAAGTTCGAGGACGGATCGGACGATGCGATCCTCAGCGTTGCGACCTGCTCGGAGGATGATGACGTTCTGCTGACGACGGCCAGGGGCCAGTGCATCCGCTTTCCCGTCACCGACATCCGCGTGTTTGCCGGCCGCTCGTCGACCGGCGTGCGCGGCATTGCGCTGGGCGCCGGCGACCATGTGATCTCGATGACAATCCTCGGCCACACCGAGGCGACGCCGGGCGAACGCACCGCCTATCTCAAGCGCGCCAGCGCGCTGCGCCGGGCCGATGACGGCGCCGAGGACGAGGCCGCACCCGCCATCGCCGACGAGGAGGAGGGCGCGACCGACGTGGCGCTCGACGATGATCGCTTCAACGCTCTGGCGGCGCGCGAGCAGTTCGTGCTCACCGTCAGCGAGTTCGGTTATGGCAAGCGCGCCTCGTCCTATGATTTCCGCGTCTCGGGGCGCGGCGGCAAGGGCATCAAGGCGACCGACACCTCCAAGGCCGGTGACATCGGCGATCTCGTCGCCGCGTTCCCGGTCGACGATGGCGACCAGATCATGCTGGTGACGAATGCGGGACAGGTGATCCGCGTGCCGGTCGGGGGCATCCGCTTTGCCAGCCGCGCCACCAAGGGTGTGACGATCTTTTCGACGCGCGAGGGCGAAAAGGTCGTCTCGGTCGAACGCATTCCGGAAACCGAGAATGGCGATGGCGAAGATGATGAAGCCGCGCTAGAAACGGGTGCCGAAGACACGGTTGAAGGCACGCCGGAGTAAGCCGCCATGATCGACTGGCCGACCCTTGTCGCCTATACGCTTGCCTGCGCGCTGATCGTCATCGTGCCGGGGCCGACCGTCACCGTGATCATCGCCAATTCGCTGCGAACCGGCGCGCGCTCGGGGCTTGCCAATGTCGCGGGCACGCAGGCCGGCCTTCTGGTCATGATCGGCGTTCTGGCGCTGGGGCTCGAAACGGTCGTCTCGGTGATGGGCGAGATGTTCGTCTGGCTCAAGCTGGCCGGCGCGGCCTATCTGATCTGGCTCGGCATCAAGCTGTGGCGGTCGGACGGTTCGCTTGGCGATCCTGACGCGAAGGATGTGGCGGAGCGGTCGCTGCGCGGCTATTTCTGGCAGGGCTTCTTCGTCATCTGGTCGAACCCCAAGGCGCTGTTCTTCTTCGGCGCCTTTATCCCGCAATTCATCGTGCCCGAGGGCAATGCCGCGTTGCAGACGCTGCTGCTGGGCCTGATCTTCATGGCTGTGGCAACGGTGCTCGACGGCGCCTATGCGCTCGCCGCCGGCAAGACGGGGGGACTTCTGAGCCGCCGCAACGTGCGCATCCTCGAGAAGGTCTCGGGCACGTTCCTGATCGGCGGCGGCATCTGGCTGGCCCTGTCCAAGCGGACGGCCTGACGCCGGCGTTCAGCGCGGCTCGCGCAGCATGACGATCTCGGCCGTTTCGCCCGCTTCCGCCGCTGGCGCGTCCGGCGCCCGGACGATCAGCGCGTCCGCCGCCGCATAGAGCCGGATGATCGAGGAATCCTGATTGTCGAAGGCGGTGGCAACCAGCGCGCCGCGTTCGTCCCGCTCAAGGCTTGCGCGCATATAGTGTTCGCGTGGGCCGGTCTGGCCGATCGGGGCGCCGAGCCTGGCCGTGGTCCGCCGCTGGCTTTGCGGGCGGCCGCCAAGCGTTTCAAGCAGCGGCACGACGAACAGATGCGTGCAGACGAGGCTGGAAACGGGATTGCCGGGCAGGCCCAGCACGCGCATCGCGCCGAGCCGGCCGAACATCATCGGCTTTCCCGGGCGCATCGCGATCTTGTAGAAATCAAGCGTCATGCCCCGCTCGGAGAAGACCGGGCGGACGAGATCATGATCGCCGACCGAAGCCCCGCCCAGCGTGATCAGAACGTCGCATTTGGCAGCCATCGCCTCGTCCAGCTTGGCTTCGAGCGAAGCGGCGCTGTCGCGCGCAATGCCAAGGTCGATCACTTCGGCGCCTGCGTCGCGGGCGATCGCGGCGACGCCGTACCCGTTGGATGCAACGATCTGGCCGGGCCCGGTCTCGTTGCCCGGAGCGACCAGTTCGTCGCCAGTCGCCAAAACGCCGACGATCGGGCGACGGATAACGGGCAGGCCGGCATGATTGCCGGCGGCGGCAAGGCTCAGATGGCCGGCATCGAGCACCGTGCCTTTTTCGAGCAGCACATCGCCTTCGGCAAAATCGAGCCCGGCAGGGCGCAGATAGCGGCCGGCCACCACAGGTTCCAGCGCGCGGATCGCCTGTTCGCCGGCGGGCTCGGCATCTTCCTGGATCAGGATCGCATCGGCACCGTCGGGCAGCGGCGCTCCGGTGAAGATGCGGACGGTCTGGCCGGGCTCCACGCGACCGGAAAAGACCTCGCCGGCGGCAACCGCGCCGATCACTTCCAGTGTTGCGGGCGTCCCGCCGACATCGGCGGCGCGCACCGCATAGCCGTCCATGGCCGAGGCGGTGAAGGGCGGCTGGGTGCGCAGGGCGGCGATGTCGTCGGCGAGAACGCGGCCCCTGGCGTCATGCAGCGGAACCGTTTCGGTTTCGAGCGCGCCTGCATCGGCGAGAAGCCGCCCAAGCGCGTCGGCGACCGGCATCATCGCCATCAGCCCTTGTCCGCCGCCGCATCCGGACGACGCCATTCGCCGGACTTGCCGCCGGTCTTTGAAAGAAGGCGAATGTCCTTGATCTCCATCGCCTTATCGAGCGCTTTTGCCATGTCATAGATGGTCAGGCAGGCGACGCTGACGGCGGTCAGCGCTTCCATCTCGACCCCGGTCTTGCCGGTCACGCGCACGGTGGCGCGCACATCAAGACCACCGCTGGCCGGTTCGATTTCGACGGTCACCTTGGCGATCGGCAGCGGGTGGCACAGCGGAATCAGATCGGATGTCTTCTTGGCGGCCATGATGCCGGCCAGCCGTGCCGTGCCGATCACGTCGCCCTTGGCCGCGTCGCCGGCAAGGATCGCGTCGAGCGTCGCCGCTGCCATCGCAACATGGCCTTCGGCGGTTGCCTCGCGCACGCTGTCCGCCTTGGCCGACACATCGACCATGTGCGCGGCGCCGCTGTCGTCCAGATGGGTGAGGGGCGTATCGCCCATCTCAGGCCGCCGCCGTCTGCCGGGTGAGCAGCGCGCGTGTAGCCGCCGTCACGTCGGTCTGTCGCATCAGGCTTTCGCCGACCAGAAACGTGGTGATGCCGGCGCGCGCCAGCCGCGCGCAATCCTCGGGCGCGAAGATGCCGCTTTCGCCGACCAGCAGCCTGTCATCGGGCACCATCGGCGCCAGATGCTCGCTGGTCGCAAGATCCACCTCGAAGGTGCGCAGATTGCGGTTGTTGATGCCGATCAGCTTTGAATCGAGGCGCAATGCGCGCTCCATTTCCGTGGCATCGTGCACCTCGACCAGCGCATCCATGCCCAGATCGAAGGCGGCCTGCTCGAGATCGCGCGCCAGCGCGTCGTCGACGCTCGCCATGATGATCAGGATCGCGTCGGCGCCCCAGGCGCGCGCTTCGAGCACCTGATAGGTATCGAACATGAAGTCCTTGCGCAGCGCGGGCAGGGCGGTCGTGGCCCGCGCCACGGTCAGAAAGTCCGGCGCGCCCTGAAAGGACGGCGTATCGGTCAGAACGGAAAGACAGGCCGCGCCGCCCGCCTCATAGGCAAGGGCAAGCGCCGGCGGGTCGAAGTCGGCGCGGATCAACCCCTTGGACGGGCTGGCCTTCTTGATCTCGGCGATCAACCCGTAATCTCCGGCGGCGCTCTTCGCGCGCAGCGCCCCGGCAAAGCCGCGCGGCGGTTCGGCATTGGCGATCCGGTCTTCGAGCGCCGATACCGATACGGTGGCCTTGGCTGCCGCGATCTCGTCGCGCTTGTAGGCTTCGATCTTGCGCAAAATGTCGGCCATGGCTCAGCCCTTCCCCGTCGAGATGGCGACGACCTTGTCCAAGACGGCCTTGGCGCTGCCATCGTCGAGTGCGGCCTGGGCCTTCGTCACACCCTCGGCTATGTCGCCGGCAAGACCGGCCACCACCAGCCCGGCGCCCGCATTGAGGCAGGCAATGTCGCGATAGGCGTTGTGGGCGCCTTCGAGCACCGCGCGCAACGCCGCGGCGTTTTCGGCCGGTGCACCGCCCTTCAGGTCGTCGGGTCTGGCGCGCGGCAGACCGGCATCCCCGGGTGCAAGCGTGAAGGTATGCACCGCGCCGTCCCTGAGTTCGGCGACCATTGTCTCGCCGGCGGTGGTCAGCTCGTCCAGCCCTTCGCCATGGACCACCCAGACATGTTCCGATCCGAGCGCCTTGAGCACATGGGCGAGCGGTTCGACCCAATGGGGGGCGAACACGCCGACAACCTGCCGCGACGCGCTGGCCGGGTTCGACAGCGGGCCGAGCAGGTTGAAGATGGTGCGCGTGCCCAGTTCGACCCGGTAGGGGCCGACATGGCGCATCGCCGGATGGTGGACCGGCGCGAACATGAAACCAAGACGCGCGCCGTCGATGCAGCGCGCGATCGTCTCGGGTTCGGCCTCGATATCGACGCCCAGTTCGGAAAGCGCGTCCGCGGCGCCCGATTTCGACGACAGCGACCGGTTGCCATGCTTGGCGACATGGGCGCCGGCGCCCGCGGCGATGATCGCGGCAAGCGTCGAGACGTTGTAGGAGCCGGAGTTGTCGCCGCCCGTGCCGACAATGTCGATCACCGGCTTGTCGGTCTTCACCGGCCGCATCTTGGCGCGCATTGTGGCAACCGCGCCGACGATCTCATCGACCGTCTCGCCGCGGACCCTCAGACCCATCAGGAACCCGCCGATCTGCGCGGGCGTCGCATCGCCCGACATGATGATGTCGAAGGCCTGACGCGCCTCGTCGCCTGTCAGCGGATGGCCGTCGGCAGCCTTGGCGATCAGCGGTTTGATGTCGGCCATGTCGGTTCGCCTCAGGTGCCCGCGTCGAGCGCGCGCTCGAGCGCGGTCGGATAAAGCGTCACCGGAAACTCGCTTTGCAGCCGGTTGACCATCTGGTTGAGCAGATCGTCGGCCAGATTGCCGCCGAGATTTGCGCGCAGCGACGGATCGATGCTCTCGGCGCCGCCGAGCGGGTTGGTGATCTGGTCGACCCGGAAGACCAGCCGCCGGTCGCCGGTCGCGCCCTCGGCGATGTCGACGCCGCGCGGGCCGACACCGAATACCGCCGCAAGGGCCGCTGCGCCGAAATCGGCATCTTCGCCGCTGCGCGACAGGCCGAATTTGACATCGGCGCGATAGCCATTGTCGGCGGCGATCGTTGAGGGATCGCCGCCATCGCGCAGGGCTTGCGCGACCGCGTCGGCGGCTGCATCGAGCGCGTCTTCGATCTGCGCGGCCTGCCAGTCGGCGATCACCCGGTCGCGCACCTCGTCGAGCGTGCGGTCCCGTTCGGGGTCGATGCCGGTCACCTCATACCACAGGAAACCTTCGCGGCCGGCGTCCAGCGGCCGCGATTCCTCGCCGATCTCGGCGGCGAACGAAGCCTGCAGCAGCGCGCCGGCTTCCGGAATTCCCTCGACCGGCTGGCCATCCTCGCCATTGCCGTTCGCATCGATAGCGGGAAGCGTTTCCATGGCGATTCGCTGCGTTGCGGCGGCTTCGGCCATGGATGACCCGCCGGCACGGGCATCCTCATATCCGTCATGAATGTCGAGCAGCACGTCACGCGCTTCCAGCGCGGCCAGTTCTTCGCGAATGCCGTCTGCCACCTC